TTTACAAAGTATATTTTTTATTAAAGTAAAAAAATTATGATAGGAATGGGAAATTTCCAGGTGCAATCTAAAAACTAGGGCGCAGGCATGATGATGAATTTTAAACTAGTCTTAGTTCATTTAAGCATATTTTCAATAAAAATATTAATGTATAGTTATTTATATATGTACAGAGAAAGTGAAAGTTTTTAATTTTTTTTACTAATAAAATAAATGCAAAAGAAAAAGGTAAACAATATTCTCCAATACCTTTAGTGAAAAGTTACAGAGTAAAATTAGTAAATTTTAGTATTTAAATAAGCTTTTGAATATCTGCAAAAAATTATTCATAAACAGAACAACTTTGTCAAAATTTCTGTGGACTAGGTGTTGACTGTAAGTGAGTTAAAAAAAACAAAAAAACAATACATTTGAATAGAGGATATACTGTGGTTCTTAGTATTGTCGTTTAGATTGTTAAATCGATATAACCTAATATCGCGATATAAAAGGGTTGATTATATCGATTTAAGAAATTTCTATATCGTCCAGCCCTACTGGAGAGTAGTAAGTATTCAACTTTGCAATTGTTTTGTGAAACACTTCTTGAAGAAATACGTTGCGTGAATCTTTCCGTGAGTATGATGCCTGAGAATTACATCGAAGTTTAGACCGCAGATCAAAAATCTTATTGTAAGCTTTGTGAATCGATACACCACATTTTTCGAAAAAGAGAAGAGTATCCATTAATATCTGAGCATGTTCTGCAATGAACTGAAAGTACGCAAACGTACTTGCTTTCCACCAAAACTTTGCACTGATTGAGACAAGCAGTGTCAGGAGTAAGGTTTATTTCACTGCTAAAAAATTCTATGTAAACATTACAATATTCAGCATGGTATTGCACTGATTTAAACCAGGAATTCCGCTGTGTCTTTATTGGTGCTGGACAAAGTTTAGCTTTCTTATTGTCATCTGTTAAAAACTTTAAATAGCGGCGCTTTCTTGCAGGACAATGCTTGAACAATTTCTTAAACTTTCCTGTGAATTTGTCCACCTCTGTCAGATTCTTGGAAAGATCTGACCACCTGACCAAAAAGATTCTTGGAATTGAAAAAGAAGATATATTTCAATTGAAAAAGAAACACTTAAGGAGAAATTTATCTGTTAGGCGAATACATTTTGCTGAAAAATAAAAATTATACAGATATGTTGCGATTACGCGGAAAATTGTAAATTATGCGGATAATTGTGAATTATGCGGGTTTCCGCATCTTCGCATAATTTATAGGGCCCTAATTATAGGGTTATAACTAGGGTTCTGAATTGTATAGCAACCGATGGTCAGAAACGTCATGGGAATGTAACATGGCAGGTACAAGAAAAAAAGTGACACAAGACTAAGATAATCTAAAATATTTATTGGTCAAAGATATTACACGTACTGTGATGTCACAAATGGTGTTCAAATTTTCATCATTGCTAGCCGTGCATGCGTTACGCCATCAGACCATGGATTGGCAGACCAGCTCAAATACACCAGCATTTTGTTTGATATCCCTTGTATCATTCTTACATCCAGATACATTTCAGATTCCTCAGGTGTCGTGTACACAGCACTTTTCAGTGCACCCCAAAGGAAGAAATCCTAGCTGCTTGAATCAGGAGAGTGTAGAGGCAAGGGGACAGTCTACCATGCTCCATTTTGTCTTTTGAACAACAACACCTAGCGACGAAGGAATACATTTCCAACCATGGGTTGCTATGCAAATCTAAATCCTTTTGATGTCCCATACCTCCCCTTAAAGTTAGTGTCCCAGTCATCCTGGGACACCCGATATATAAGATTGTATCTCTAAAGACTACCATTCAAATAGAAAAAAAAGTTATAGCTCTACTTTTTTTACAAATTGATTTATACAAAAGAAGAAGATATGAAATTTTAATGCTATTAAACAATAATTTTACTTTAAAAAATGAATTAATTTAAGAATCTATAAAAAAAAGAAATAGAAAATTCTTGACCAGCATAAAAATTTTATAAAATAATCTTTGGTGTAATCTCTTGATAAATAAAAGACCCACTTTCTATACATGCTAGTTGAGTCAAGAATTCTAGAACTTAAAATATTTTAATGTAAGTGTTAAATGAAATTGAAGTTTATCTAACTTCACAGTGATTGTAACTTGTTACTAAGCTCATTTAATTACCCCCAATAACTCTTAAAATCCTTTGTTTAAATGCACCTTCATCAGTTTTGAGGCATTTTTTATAGCCTTTCCTGAGCTTTAAACACTTACATTACCTCTTTCATTATTATTACTTTTAGTTCGAGTTGCAACTATCTCTGTCTTTTAACAAAGTTGTTATTGAAAGCAAATCATGAAGGGTTAGTCGTGGTATATTAACTTCATATATGATTATATCCATATGTGTTGGGTCATTACTTTTTCTATGTTTTCCTTAAAGCTGTATGTTTAAGAATGTTACGTTTTCCAACATTTTTATTTTTTATATTGCTGTGTTTCCATTGCCTTAAAACCCTAAGAATATCCAAAAAGCTCTAATTCTTCTGTCCCTTGCTTGTCAAATAATATTTTGAAAACAGAAAATAAAAAAATTCAGTTTGCATAAAAATACTTTCTAAAAACATCACTGAATCATTTACAAAAAATATCCAACTTACTTTTTAACATTCTTTACTAAGTGTCACTAAGTAAAGAATACAAAGTTTTATAATCTAAGTAAAGTATTATTCTTTACTTTAAGAGTGTTATTAAGAGAAATATTACCTGCAATCACTGTTGTGACCTCTGGTCATAGATTCTGTAAAATTTTTGACTACTTGTACATACAACTATTAAAATGAAAATATTTTTTCTTCTTCAATATTTATTTGTGATAAGAAATTCAATCAAAGTAGAGAAGAAAATATTTATTTAAAAATGTATAAACACTAAAAGCTTAAAATTATAAAAAATGAATATGAAAATTATTAATGAAATTGACTGTTGCTTATTATTTAAGAATCTAAATTTTACTGCTTGATGTATGTATGTTACTTTCAATCTAAATTTTTATGTGATCTACCTTCTTTTCATCTTTAGATATTTTATTTGTTGTTTACGTTTTATCATGTTAAGAGATTATCTCTCTTTTTTATTTCCTTTTCATTACAAGCAAAAGTACAAAAAGTAAAATATAAAAAATAATAATAAATTTCTTTTCTTTTAGTTTTTTATAAGTAGGTATCAACTCAAATTAGTAAATATTAAGCAGAATCATACATTTATGTATAATGAATTATGAGTTTCTAGTATTTCCAGTTTTTACTTTGTTAGTTTGTCTTCGTTGTTGGTACAAAATAGAAAAATGTTTTGTCTCAGTAATGTAAGTGTAGTTTTCCACCCTTCAAATATAAAATCATTTAATTATACACAAGACATTATGGATATATTATCAACAAAATTTCATTTTAATCTATTGATTTTCACTTGTTTAGTTTCTGTTTTTTATTGACAAAATGGATTAGGTTTTTAACCTATTAATCATTGTCTCTAATTCAATAATTTTGTCTTTATCCAAGTTCCTGAAAAGATTTAAACAAAACACATTTAAAGGGACCAAATAACCCTAATATCTTTAACCCTTCAAGAATGTGCTGAAAAAGTATTATTCTAAATAAATAAATTTTGTCTGTCTGATTCATAAGTTCATTTGATTCTTTTTCATTGTCTATCTGCTTCACAGGGCAAGAGAAACATCAGTATAAAATAGCCAAGAGATCTTATGTGTTTAAAGTGTACCAGAGGAAAATTTTTATAGAGAGGAAGAAATTCTTGAAGAAAAAGTTCACAGTCAAAAAATTTTTATTTAAGAAAATTAAACCACTAAATTAATTATTAAAAGAGGTATGTTATTCTTTTTTAATTGCTTAATTAATAAAATAGCAAAACTAACAATAAAAACTATTACTAATTATTGAAACCCTTATAATTGAAATATTAGATTAGTAACAGGGATTCAAAACTTTTAAATAATTAAAATTTTTATTAATAAGGTACATTATAACTAAGCATTCTGTACTATAAAAAAAATGATGTATCATTTGAGTATATTTGTTACCACAACAATAATGGAGAGGCTTATAAATGATGAAGGAAGATTTTGGCTATGGTGAGTAAACTTACCAAGTCTTTCCCCTTGGCCGAATAACGGCTGCTTACTACCTAAAAATGCTAGTAACTCATTTACTGGCATTTGAAGTGAAAATTTTCTGCCCAAGTCTGAAATTCCAGCTAGAAAATGCCTTCATATACTCTGCAAAATTATCAAAATGTTGGTTTTGAGATATTAGGGTGCCTGTCATAAATGACTTTCCCTTTCTCATATCCTCAATGCCAGAAAACATAAAGGGCTATCTTGGTTAAGTCAGTATTTATGAAAAAGTAGTTCCAGTCTGTGGCAGAATTTAAAGCTGCCATTATTGAAACTTGACATAATATTGATGCCATTGTCCTCTTGATTGTTAAATGGTTTTAAGTCAGATAAAAAACATGGAGGATACTTTAGCTGCAACCAGAAGTGGCTTTATTTCCAAATTAATTAATTTGATCATAAGTTATGAGAGCGTATGTATTGTGCATTTTAAAATAATTTAATTAGATTTTTCTTGTTATTGTGACAGTTACTTTTCTTGCTTGAACTTTGGTTGATGGGGGTCACTTGAAAAGAGACCACCCTTTTATAAATACTGAATAACTTTTGATCTAATTTTTATGTTCTAGAACTATCTTAAAAGTTCGAAAGGGTTATCTCAAATATGCTAATTAATTTTAGATGATGAAATCAGACACAAAAATTTAACTTCTCTGATTAAACATAATTTTTTTTTTTTGTTGACAGATTAAGATTTCTTATCTCTAAAATATAGGGGGTAGCCATAATCTGTGATATTTGGTCAGGAGAGCAGTCCAAAGTTGGGTCTCCTTAATTTTATTTTTTGTGTATTTCACCATATCTAGAGAACTTTTTAAGAAAATTAAAAAATTGCAGACAATTATAAAATTAGTTTATCCAAAGTTATATTTTTAACTTTTTATTATTTATTTAATAATACTGAAAAAAATTGAATTGTAAGGTCAAGTACATCATTTTAAAGAATAATTATTCATTGCAAAATCGGTCAAATGGTTCCCAATAACTCAAATTTTAAAAATATAACTTTTGATTTCTCAGGAACTATTAGACTGATTTCCCTCAAATTTTGTATTTTGCCATGTAAAATGTCATTCTTTAAAATAATGTAAAAAATTTACCTTACAATTCAAAAAATTTTCGACTATTGAATAATAAATTTTTTCTAAAAGTTATATTGTGGATAAACAAATTTTCAAATTCATTTGAAAATTTATTGTGAGGTCTTTACTTTGGACTGCTCTCCTGACCGAACTACTTGGTCCAACCCCCCATACTTTGGGGGTAAAAAATGCATGTTTTTTTTTAGAGAAGGTATGCTTTTGTGTCCGATTTAATAACTTAAAATATTGTCTGTATTAATTAATTAGCATATTCGAGGTCACCCTCTTAAACCATCAATCAAGATAGAGTACTAGAACATGAAAATCGGATTATTAGATCAAAAGTTGCTCCGTGTGATCCGTTTTTTTTTTTTTAAATACCACCAAGGTTGGCATGGTATTTAGGTTCATTCTATATTTAACATTTTCTTTCCTGTAGACTGCAACAGCATTTTTATTCTTTGTCTCAATGTGGTCACTTCCAAAGTATTTGAAAATATAGTAATGGAATGAAACAAATTATTCAGTTAAAGTCAATTTTATTTTGAAAACTGTCACTGAAATTTAGGATACTTCTCAATGAATTTTATTTACAGGATGCTTATAACACTATTTTTACAAAGCATTACTTAAAATAGTTCTTTTTACACAAATATTGTGCAATTGGTAACACTAATGAATCCTAGTAAGTTCTTCCACAACTTTGACAATGTCATCAACGGTTGCATCTCTTTTCATACCAGATCCATCATCATACTAAAATGAAAGATTTATATAATAAAAAAAACCTTAATGCTACTGATAAAGAAATAACACGAAGTGTAATTTAAAATTTTGATATCAAATAATTTTTTTTATGATTTAGAATGTAAACATGTTGATTATTGGCCACTTCCTATGAATTATAGGGAAAAGGTGCAACCCTTCCAATTAGATTAGATATTAACCAGATTATTTTCAAAATGACATTGGAAATTTTATACTCATACGTAGAAACCATATTCATATACAACTAAAAAAAGTTGAATTATTTTTTTTTAATTGTTAAAAAGTGTTAGCAAGATACATACTGAAAAATAATGAATATTTTTATTAATTTTATATAGTAAGTGTCATGTCAAGTTACTATTTTAATAGGCTATTATTTAATTGATGTAATTCTAAAGTAATTTATTTTATCATTCTTTTGCTACAGAATAAAGTTTGTCGTGTTTAAAAGTAGTCTAGTATATGCATACTGTTGCAAAAAATTTCCCTTTTTTTTTCATAAGATTTTCTTTGGCCCACTATGTGTATTTATAGGGGAAAACAACATGGAAAGATATCACAATTTCTTACAAATTTTATATGGTTATAACTAATGTTCAATGAAAGAAAAGCTGCCAAGCCTTACAAAAATAACAAGAGCTCAAAAAGAAAAATGTAGATTTTTAATTATCAGTTATTTTTAAAGCTCAGCCAGGTGCCTTTTAAAATTGAATTTTATGCACCAAAATTGAGTTAATAGCATAAGGAAAAATGAGTTTTTTGTATTTATTGGGATTTCAGAACCTCCTAGAAGCAGGTGAGATACTAGCCTATTGAATACTAGGTGATTAACTAGCCTATTGAAACTATTATAATGGTACTTTACAAGGAAAGAGTGTCAAAATATATCAATATTACTTATTCACATACATGCATTTGACTGATTTTAATCAATTCATGCCTGCCTACATAAATAACAGAAAAAAAGATATTTGATAGGAAGGATTAAAGGATACATTATTCACAATGAATAAATAGTTTCAGAATTTTTAGTATGATTTCTCACTTTTTTAAGTCTACATTTTATTTTTTAAAAAATAATAAAATTTGCCAGGTGAATCATATTTTCAGAAAATAAAAATCAATTTTTTACACATGTTTTTCCAGTTTAAAAAATCAAACATTTTTCATCAATTGTAATTTTTAATAAGGAATAATGAAGGAGCGCTTTTTGTGTTCCTGCCTTCGACACTGTTCTGTATACATATAACTGAATGCAACTCAAAGAAATATTTATAAATAACTAGAAACTCACCTGAACACCTTCCACAACCTTTTCCATTTGTTGCCTATTTAAGTCGAGAAAACTTTCAATGAGATCACCATCGATAAAATTAGATGCCAATTCTGACTTCCTTTCAGTTGAAAAAGTTCGATAACTACAGACCAAGTCAAGGAAGGTGAAAAATAAATATTGGTTTAATTTTTATAAGTAATTAATTGAAGCAAAAGTAAACAGTGTGTTCAGGAACATAAACTAGTAAAATCAGGGTAAAATGCATTTCCACATGTAATGGAGAGGTAGTTAGGAACTTATGTCACTAACCACTCCCCTGATAATCCAGAGTTAACTATGGTATGTATATATTGCAAATATTTATTATCCTGAGATAACTTGGACATAGCACAGTTTTTCAGTACTTTTTGTTTTATCATGTTTTTACTCAGCCAGAAGCAAAAATAATAATCTGCTGTAATTTGCCAAGTTTAATTTGGGAGTTTTGCTGTTGGATTGTGGGACTGCAAACATGTTTTTTACGACTGTGTCTACAATGGCTGCAGGAGATTTACACAGAAAAAAAAAAAGAGTAAAAAATGGGATATCACTTCTGGCATTTAAGAAAGTATCACTTCGTGTTGTCCCTTATTTTAAAAAATGTCATAAAAAGACTAATATTTCATTTACATGCAAAAAAATTAAAATTTAAACTTAAAACTTTACGTTTTATTTTAGTTCCCTGTATTTATTAATAATTAAAAAAACATGATTTTTTTCTTCAACAAAAAATTGGTAAGGAAATTCCATTCATATAAATAAAACAAGATTCCAGGGCATCAAGATGAGCTGATGTGACAGGTGTTAGGTTCAAAGTTTTTCTCTTTAACACAGCACATACAGACTAAAATATTATAAGACAAGATAAAAATACATGTAAGAAAATAAAGTAAAGGATACAATGAATGTGTAATTTTTCCAACTGATTTAATCACCCGGGTAAGATTATTTTGGACTGACAGCAAAAATTTATAATATTCTTCAGGTATTTGTGTCACCAAACCTATGTTTAAGAAAAGAAAAATATATATTTTTTATTAGTTCCTACGAGTTAAATCTATGAACTAAACAAGACTGAGTTCTTTATCACATTACAGTAATTTCATGAACAGTTAAATAAGCTATTTAACCTATTATGGGTCTGACGAAATATTTCATCATGCATAAACTGTTACTGCAATTGGCATGTCATTTTTCGTCATGAAAATTACTTGAGATTTGATTACATTATTTACATACAAATTGAATAAAAGTTTATTCACCTAGTTGAAAAGAAAGAAAAAAAAATATCTGCTGGTATAATTTAATGTACATTATACAAACAGAATTAAAAAAAGTTCTATATACAAGAAGAAAATTTTTTACATATCTAATAATTTAAAATTTTGAATTTCCGGGAATTGTATTTAAGGCTATCCTAAATAATCTCTTTGTAAGAACTAAATGAGGAAACTATTAGCAATGAACTTTGAAATAAAATTTGACATAAATCTGAAACAAAGCATAGATTAAAATGTTAAAATTTCTAAATTTTAAAATATATGTTCACAGTTTGCATTAATCTATCATATTCACATCAAATCGCATAACTCCTTATTCACAATAATATAATTAATTATCAAAATGAATTACAATTTATCACATTTCCTAAGACAAAAATTTAAATTATGTAAAAAACTTAAATTACATTTACACATAAGTAATTTATAAATTACATTTATATATTGATTAGTAATGTAATGTATTGATGTCAATGTATTAGCTTTGCTGATCACCTATAAAACTATTTCACTTACCAATAGCACCATTAACACTGCCATACAACACTGATCCTGTGCAAGGAGTAGTGCTTTCACCAGGATGTTGCATTACAAGAGAACCTAAACAACAATAATAAATTCCACTTATTCTCGCTATAGGTATTAATTATATGTATGACAATAAGAAAAATGGTGTAAAATGCATAACTGTTCAGCTAAACAAAAAACTATTAACATTGCTAAAGTTACATACAGAAAATATATATAAATTTTGCTTGCACACTTTAGAACTGTTCGACATCGTGTACTTTACAAATCTTAACATCATGTAACTTACAAAAAGACAGCAATGTAAAAACAAGGATTTTCTCACTCTTACAGTGTTATAGTCACAAGATGAATTAATAGATTCAGTGTTGTGCTAATATAAGCAATTTAGATAATTCAATGCAATTTATGCAGTTAAACCTTCAAATAATCTAACAAAATTCAAATATCACCTTTTCGAAATACATTAACCATTTCTCCTAGATGGAAATGTCCTATTTCTGGCAGATGTTGTCTCTCTTCATCTGTTGTAGCAGCACTGCAAAAATATTAAGTTACTGAAGTTGTAGTAGTTATTGTTCTCATAGTTATTAGTTGTAGTACTCATAGTTATTGAAGTAGATTAATAAAAGTTCTGATTCTAAGGAATTTCTAGTTCAAGACTAATAAAATCAGTTACTGTATCTGTGTAACATATAAGCAAGAAATTTTTTTATAATAAATATTCATAATAAATAAATAAAAACAGAAAAGAAACACTTATTGAAAAGTAGTTGGTTATATTTTTTTTAAAAGTGAAACCAAGTTAGATTCAATACTTAACTCAAAGGTTTTCTTAACTTTTAATTTGTAAAAAAAAAAAAAAATCTCCAAGAAATATAAGAGCTGTGCTTAATTTATTACTCCACAAAGGTTTACCCTATAATCAAGGTTGCAAGCAAGCACAATTACTTATGATCAAAATATTGTTTGATGTCCTATTAGTTGTAGATCAATATTAATTATACATCGCTAACTGTAAATTAAGGTAATTTATAATCACAATAAAATTTTCATTTATAATAACAATTACTTTTAATAAATTAAATTTTGCTTAATTTTCTGTGTGCTGATGGTACAAGGAGAATTCACACATGATAAAATATCAGATTACTGCTTCAATTTAATTAGAAAACATCGTTTAAATCAATGTTAACAGACCTAAAACTTGACCTTGTAATTTATTTAAATTAATTAGTTTTTTTGTATGTTTTAAATATATCTTCTCAAACACAGATAAAAATATCTAATTTCCTCTATCTCAATTTATTTATGTTGTTATAGCTAAATACAAGAACAGCCTGCTAAGTTTATTGGACAACTTGAATTGAAGTTGTAACACTATTTCTTTTGATGCTTTTATTGCAGCTATATATTTTTTTCCTTTCTATTTTCTCACTTTAGATTAAAAGCTGAACTAGATCAATCAGATTTAAAAAAAGGAAAATATTATTAACAAAAAGTACTACACATAAAAAGTAACAATTATTATGAAGCTAAATTGTTTCAACAGCTCTGATATTTTACAAAAATGTTTACCTGTCTTTTTGACAAACAAATAAGTTAAAAGAATTTTCAGCTCCTAAAACAGTATCATCATCTAAAATCTCTATAGCTGTCATCCAATTCGGTTGATGATCTCTTGCAATCTGAAATAAAGGCAACATAGTTTTTAACAAAAAGAAGAAGAAAATTTAAAAGATAACAGATGAAAAATTTAAAAAAGTTCAATACAATAGTTGGCATAATTCTAAAAAATAAGAAATAGAATTAAAATTTATATTATTTATTGGCTCGTAAATACAATGATCCTATATTGACCTACTTTTGACAGTTTTTCATATCAAAATTGCTTCCTATTGCTCATTCATGTGCAAAATTTTGCATTCAATAAGAGCAGATTTATATCATATATACGTTTATACATCTTGCTTAGTTATAGTTATTAGACTATTATTGTAATTTAAAACAATTTCCAACTCTTATAAAAACTTCTAATCAAGTTCTATTTCCCGATTTCTAAAACCATAATTTGAAAGGCAATATCTATTATTAATTCTTAAGCAAAAAATAAGATTTTTAAACCAAAATTAAAATGGTTTTAATAAACTAATCTTAATTTGTCATCTATAAACTTTTTTAACATCTAAATGAAATAATCGTATGAGTAATGAATTGTTAATTTAATACCTAGTAAAGAAATGACAAGATCTGACGAAATGACAATGACAAAGATCTGCTATTTTCAGATTACTTTCTTATCAATACTTAAAGAGCTTAGAATGTTATTATTTTGATAATGTATGTAAAATTTTCATAAAATAGTTTTGTTGTTTAATTCAAAATAATTTCTCTTATAAATATTTTGAAAATATGCAAGGGAAATTCAATTCAAGTAGTTTTAATCAAATCATCAATCAGGCACTAATTATCATTACTCTCTCAAACATTAATATTTGTGCCATTATTTTTGAAAGTGGAATAAGTCTATTTTGGTATAAGCTTTTAAGGGTAGTGTTTGAATGAATTGAATAATATTGGCAAAGGTTAATCAATTTGGATGATGCTTTTAATCCCGTAATAACATAAATGTGTTAAACTAGCAAAATGAAACAAGTTATTAAAATTATAAAAAATAAATAAACATCCTTTCAGCTCCAATAAAAGGGTAAACTTATTCCACTTTCAAAAATAATGGCTCATTTTTAAATTTCAGATGATTTTTAATATAAGTTCAAGATGACAGCTAATGTTTCTATATGGTCTTCATTGGAGCTTATTTTCAGTTTTATTTCATCCACTCCTGTTATAATTTATTTATTAAAGAGCCAAAATATTAAAAGCCCGTGAAGTGAAAGATAAAGAATTTTATTCAGACCTCATTACCCATGAATCATCCTACATTATATCATGTTAGGGATGAAGTTTGAATGTAAGGAGGCTTTTTCAATAACAGTCAATAATCTAGCATATGATTATTTTTAAGAGTGACCTTTCCATATATTGTTAATCAATCAAACATGTTATGTGTAACATATAATTACATGTTGATAATTAATCAAACAGGCACACTGTTAAAGTAAAATTTTTGGAAACAAAACTTCCTTCAATAACAAATGCTCGGGAAAATATAGGTCAAAAATAGCAGTGCATTTTGAAAAATCATTTAACATTTTAAAATAAAAGACGTTATTTGTAAACAAGTCATTAACACTATTAAAAGTGTAAAACGTATATTACTTTTCTAAAAAAAAAGTGATTTTGAAAATGTTAAGTTTTTATATTTATTTAGAGTTCACAATTCACATTTTTGTCATATCAAATTTTCTTGTATATTTATGGAACATTAGTTTCACTGTTATCATTAAAGGATCAAGGATTTAAACCTTTTAACCATAGTATTCATTACTTGATCATGTAAATTTTGAAATCTAACATGAAGCTTTTGTGACAAGTTTCAAAATGAATAATTTTCTATTATCCCCTCCTGCAAAAACTTCTACTATTGTGACACACATTTTTTTTAATAGAAATATTTAGAGAAAATTTTTTCCATAATTTACAATTCAAAACGAGAAATCTTTTTTTCCCCTCTTTCTTTTTGCAAAAGTTAATTCAGATAACTTTTAGAATTCAATGTAAATTGCGTACTGAGAAAAATATTTTCAAGGAAAACAGTAAATATTTGCAAATTTCACAATTAAAAGCTTTTCTTACAACTAAAAGATCATTCAGATCTTAATTTTACAAAATTTGACATGTATTATTCCTTTTTGCTTGTAACTTGCGTTACTTTAAAAAATTTTCTTTAATGAAACTTTTATTTCTTAAAAAGGTTACAAAATCAAAAGGGTAGAAACAGAAAGAAGTATTTTTATTAAATTAGTATATACAATATTTGTCATTAAAGAAAAAAAGCTATTTTCTGATGTAAAACAAGTTGTTTTCACTTACTTCTTCAAAGCTACCTTCCAGTGGTTTGTAAACTAATAAAGCCATAGACCTCATGATATCACCGACTAGAATGAAGTCCCCTTTAGTTTTTACAAAAAGAGCAATAATATTGTTGAAGTAGCTACATTCATTGTGTAGTTCTTTTTCAGGAGTCCATTCATATAACCGGACTGTACTATTAATTGAAGCTAATAGTTTGCCATTAAACTCAACTATGCAATATGGAGCACCTTTAATCTCTTTTTCAGCTACTTGTGTTAGTTTACCTAGAGTAAAAAAGAAGTGAAGAAAATGAGCAAGCAAAAATTACGCAACATACATACATGGTTGGGGAAAAAAATATCTACAATAACTATTTACCATCTTTCCATTGAAATATCACAAATCGACCTTGTTTTGGCTCAGATTCATCTGAATTTATAATAGCTGTACCAATTATATAATAAGTATTTGGATCATCTCCAAGTTTTGATGATATGATACTAATAGCAAATTCATTGGGCAAAAATTGGTGAGCATGGAGTACTGTAAAATAAAGAATTATCATATAATAATGCTATAACTCTAACAACAATGATTATGGAAAAAAAGCTAAGATAAATTTTATTAGCCATTATACAAAACTATAAAAAAATGATGGTATATACATTTACAAAACTCAAAAAGCTAAGTAAATTTCTGATAAAAAAATATCATTCATTTGTTCTATTAGAATAGATATTGTTATGTGGACAGTTTTAGTTTATTATTAATTTATGGAGTATGAAAATCTTTATTTATTTACTATTTTTTTTTTTTTTGATAATTACTTCTAATTATTAGTTTGAATCTAAGATAAAAATAGTCTGCAAGACCAATTTTTATTAAAATTAAGACACCAGATTAATAAATTTAGTAAAAGTTAAACTGTTAATAAATTTTTAAAAAGTACAATTCACAGCTAACTATTTTACACTTCTAATTTAAACTCTCTAGACATATACAAACAATACTAAAATTTGTACATGAATACAAAGTCTGCACATGCTCAGAAGAACTTTAAAGATCAAGATTTCTATAACAAAATACTAGAGTTAAAATTCATTACTTTAGTTTTATTAGTCAAAACTTAATGGAAATTACATAAAAAATATATAAAGAAAAAGAATTTAATTTTTTTTTAAAATTCTGGTATAATATAAAATATATAGTATAGATTATTAGAGAAATAAAATAATAAAAAAATATACATACATTAAACTAAACTATGATCCTGAGATTTGGCTTTTTAAATATATATATATATATACTTTTCATTTTTTTACTAGTGGCAGTGCAATAACTATTGAAGTGATTTAGAAGGCAAATACTTAATTTAGTTTTCACCATCTCTTAAAACAAGAGAAGCAGGTTTTCTTTATGTATGTTTAAAATATTTAAATGTATTGGTAGTTAAAAGAATATTGAATAAAATTTGAAACATTATTCAAGAGTGAATGTAAAACTTTTGCTACCAAATTAAATACATATATATAAAAACTTCCAAAAAATCCAGAAGAGTTGGCAGCTATGATATTTTCTTTTGAGTCTTAATTACTCTGGATTTATTACTTTCTTTAAATTAATACTGTAGGAAATTTACTTTTAAAATTTACATATATGCTATTCAAAAACAGCTGCCTAAATTCTTTAACATATAAAACATAAAAATTACCTTCAAACGTATGCTGATCAAAAATAAGCAAGCTGTGAACATCAACTTCTTGGCCGCAATCATCTGCAGTTTGACCTGTAGTTTGCAGCTTAATACTAGAATTCATTGTTGAACTACAAAGTAAAGACATAGGTGAAAATAATTGAATTATTTAAATGAAATCATTTAAAAGTAGATTGTATTCTTACCTAGCAGAAACACTTTGAGCTTGAGTACTGGCACTTCGCCTCGTAGGAGTAAGTCCACAACTGTCATGAAAATCTATTCTTGATGTGATAACACCAAATGTTTGTGTATTCTCTTGATAGGCAATTCTCCTTTTAAGTATAAGTCAAATCAAGTTAGTGTTAATAATGTATGTAGTTTATTTATATGTCATTTGTTAACAATTTAACAGGGCATACTCAAAAGCATTTGTAGCTTGACCAAAAACAAAAAAGCATTAAATTTGGAAAAAAAAATTACACAAAAATTTTTATATCACAAACTCGCTAATAGGGAGAAAATGTGGCATTGGTGTACCTCTAAGTGTGAAATAGAGAGTTTGTTTAAGCACAAAGAAACTCACTATAGCTCGCTTGTAAACAATTTACCTCTTCTGACTGATAGAGAAACAAGCCACAAATAAAAAATAATCAAAATGAAACACTCAGAATTCGATATAATTTTATTAACCTATTTATAATCAGTTAATTTCACACAAAATAACAAATATTCATATTAATCAATTGCAGGTGTCTATATTTAGATATAATTTAATTATATCCAGTGGTACATATTTGTATTTTTTAAAGTTTCAAATAATAATTAAAATTACAGACTGGGTGAAAAGTATGCAAATATATATAAATCTTGGTTAACATTTGCACATGAATTTGAGAGGTTTAGCTAACTTTGTTCTAAAACTAGTAAGCAGATTAAATATTTTTTTTATAATTATTGAAACAAATAATTTCATGATTATATATTTCTTTGAACATTAGCAATTCTGGTTTCAGTTAAGAAACAAATTTGACAGGTAGGTCTCATTTGGTATTTAAATAATTAATATTTGTGCTTAGTTAGTAGACTAATCTGAATGAATTAGTTGAGTGAATTAACTGCTTAATGTAACATTAAGGACAATGATAACAGTGATAAAATACAACGATAACATAACAATGATAAAATACAATTTATTTTCTTACCTGGGAGATTCACCCAGAGGAATAGTTCTAATATGCAGTTTCTGAATTTCATCAATAGTTCCAATTAAGAGAGAATTATCAAATGACAATGCTAAGCTAAATTAAAAAAAAAAAAAATTTGTTAATAATTCAATTTTTTTTTATAAAAATAATAAAATATATTTAGTAAAGTAACAATAATATAATAGTGATAATGACATTTTTTTAAAAATATTTTCTTTCTTTAATCTTAAACTTAACTTGGTTAAAATATAAAATACATATTGACTTTCTGGCACAGAAAAGTGGGTTTTCATATTGGAGAAGAAAAAAAATAATTGACAGCTAATTTTTTAAGTAATATTTCCACAATGCACAGCAATTAAAGATGGAATCAATAAAAAGATGAAGAATTATGTAATAAAAAAAGTAATCATTTAATTTTTTCTTATTTAAATAAGTATTTACAGGACAAGATTATTTTATAAATATTAAAGTCAATATTGCGGAAATAAACAAGAGCTAGTGAGCTGTTCCAATGAGATAAATGTGCTGTTTGTTTCATTCCAATGCAAATCCTACAAGTTACAACTAATCAATTTTATTAACACATTATAGAGCAACAGACAAATACTGAATAGTAATCTACATTACTCAGTAATCAATATTTCGGTCAAACAGTCAAATTGACAAAGAAAGTTTATATTTTTATTAGCATATTTGATATATAAATATTTTTCAACCATATTTTTTATTAAAAAAAAAAACATTTTACTGTAGAAGTCTAAAAATAATAATAATAATGCAAAGCTGGTGAGAAGAGAGCATATTTCATGAATTAAAATAGTCAGTCAGAAATAAAATCACATTAGAATTGGAAGTCAATAACTCACCTAATGATAGCATTTACATCTTTAGTACTTAATACTCAATAATACTATGGCCGTTTGTTTTGTTAATTAAATAATTAAAATCTTTGAGTATCACACATCTCAAATAAAAAATCAAGCTTGGAAGAGTCCTTTTTAGTATTATAATGGCGTAAGATATTAAATTCTTATTTGCCCTTATTTTCAAAGAGTCAACATTTTTACCTAACATCCATAAAAATGCTAATTTGTATTAGAACAGCTCGTATTGAAACTAAGTTTTTTCTCTCCATAGATTGTTAGCCAGATTTAACAATGAATTTATTCAAACACCACTACATGAATTTAAGTAACAGAATTACCAACCAATGGTCTATAAGAAGTTATATTTTAAGGCAATTCTAAAGCAATTATTGGGGTTTGGTTAGCAGTAGCAAAATGAGAGCTACGTCTCCTACACACTGGATTAAAATTTGATTGATGATTTTTTTTACTATTTATAAAATTATTTTGTATAACAGAAATCTTTAGTACAATCTATGAAAACTATTTTATCTATAGAAATGCAAATAATCTTCTTAAAATTAAAAGTATTACTATCCTGGATTTCAATGACAGAAAAAAATAAAACTATATGAGCAAACCATAGATGGATTTAATTTTAAAATAAACCAGAAAGTTGCAAATGATTTTACACACCAGACACAAATTTTACTAACTTATGTCTAAACAGTATGATCATCTCTCGCTCTTTTTATTTTGAAATTTAACCCTTTACTAAAGTTAATAATCTTCCTCAAGATAAGAGAGTAATGATTTAAGAATAATCAATCGAGCAGACCTGTCTGGATATCCTTCTGAGTTCAAAGGGCACATATGGCTAACTTCTTTAAGATTGACATTTGAAAATACAAGTTTATGATTGCTAGAATATATCACAGTAGGACGATCAGAACAAGCAAACACATTTGTCGTTGCAAGAGATCTAAATGTTTTAAGAGAAGTAGGCTGTGTTCCTAAAGTAACCTATAAATAAAAAAAATATATAAGCATAAAGAAAAAAAGAAAAAAATATAAAACATTTTTAATCTTGAATGTTTATAAGAATTATTGTAAGAAGCCTCATTTTTGTTATTTGTTCTGGGATAACATACATTTATTATTTTTACTTTTATATAATTTTTGCTGCACTAGAAAAAATTTCCCTTGAAAATAAAAATAAAATAAAAACAGACTAATAGTGAGTTCCTATATATTGTGATCCTTTCTAATTCAGTTAAGAGTACTTTTGGTTTATACTATCTGTTATAAAATTTTGTCCATTAAATTAAGAATTATATATACCTATAAAAATTTCACTTTTAAATGAGCTAACTCTTCAACAGTCTAAACGAATTATATTATTTTAATAAGTACAAATTAAAAGTCAAGTGTAAAATGGAAAAAATCACTTAAGCTAACTTATTTCACAAAATAATTCCATTTCCTATTTAATTTTTTTAATTGATCAGTACTTCTGAAAACATAAAAAATGAATATTAAAAAAGAAAATTGACTTTATATTAACGCTTTTGATTGGAAAAGTTCTTTAAATTTTTAAAGACTAAATATTTGTAAATTCAAAGTTTATAAATTCCAAATATTTTAAATTGTGAAATATTTGGAAATTAAATTGTGAAATATGTGAGTAATTTTTCCCAAAACAAGTTTTTTTGAAAAAAGCATTTGAAGCTTTATTGGACAAAGTCAAAATCACTTTATTTATAGGACCTATATTTAAAAAATCAGTTATTTAATTCAAATGATTAAAAGATCAATTATTAAAAAAATCAATTATTTAATTTAAATTATTTTAAAACTATACAAGCATTTCTTAAACACACATTTTTACCCCCAAAACTACTTAGATCAAACAACTTTATTAGATAAAATTAGCAATAATTACAACATGAACATTGAAATACATATTTAAAATCAACAAATGAAATAATCTTAAAACATACTTTTTTCCTATCAGCAAGTGCACGAGTCTCAGGATCTATTGTGAAATAAAATAAAGAGCCATCACCCAAGGCACAAAGTAAATACTGTGTAGTTTCAAATGCTGCAGCTAGTATAGACCTTGGAATAATATCTAAACAAATTAAAAATACACATTTAATTAAGACATTAAAGCAATAACCTTGTAAAAATAAAAATTCTAGTCACTAAAATAGAAACCAATAGATTAAACTGTCTAAATGCATATTTCAGTTATGATGGCATATTAGAATAAAATAATCAAACGAGGAAGGATATAGCTCTCTAAGTAATAAATATATATGACATTGAAAAGAGAGCGGAAATAAAACTAATCACTAAATGAATAAACTTTAAAATTTTGCATAAAATATCTAGAAAAATCAAAAGCCATCTACAAGTTAGTTTCTATAAACATTAGAAGATCTTTATAAAGCAAACCTTGAAATGTGAGGCTTAGTGTAATATAGAATTCTATTACATTACACATATAAATAAATTGATATGATGATTAAACACATTATTAAACTTACCAATTAAACATAGCAATACATATTTGGAACACAGAGGTATTACAGCTTTAAAAAAAATTTTTAAATACTAATAGTTTAAAACACAAAAATATGCACTAAGTATTTATTATTTACAAAAATTAATTAAAGTATCAAGATAATTAGAACTAAAAATCAACAAATTTATCAATTTTGGTTTGCTTTAGAGATTGTTAAGTTAATACAGTTAATCGAGAATAGCAGTTTATAGAATTAACTTACATAGATCTTCTACTGAAAAAGCATACTAATAAAACAGCTACAAATAAACCAGATGAGAAGTAATAAATATATTTCAAGGAATCTTGAAATAACATAGTCAATTTAACAGTTTATTAAATTATAATAAAAGTATAAAATGACATTTAAATATGAAAAAAAAAAATTTAATACAAAAAAAAAAAATAATAATAATATACTTACCACCTCCTAACATTTCTTTATGCAATTCTTTTAAAGATGGAAGTGAAAGAATTCGAATAGAGATGTCTGTCCAACAACCAACAGCACAAATTGATGTCTTTTCAGAAGTATCCAGTGGGTTGACATCAAGACAAGCGATTTCAAATTCTAACACCGTATGGCTACACAAAGTAGAAAATTTAACTCTTTATTATGTAGTGATTCTGTAGGTTTAAACTAAGCTTCAAAACTGCCAATATATAAATAGGGTCATTTAGAGCTAACATAACTTAAAATTTTAAAAACAGTCAACTTAATGGCCATTAATAACTGTTCTTTACATAAATTGCAGCCAAGAAATTTTCCTCATTTCCTCCTTCCTTCAAGACTGATGTGAAACTATAGAGATTATACAGTGCTAAATTCAAAGAAAAAAATTTAAACTTTTAAGTATAAACCCCATGAGCAGTTACTCATTCAAGAGGAGAATATTAATATCCAATTCCTTTTGCACTTTCAAGAGGATACCTCTGAATAAACTTGTCTTAAAACACTGTTATGCTTTCTTGCTGTCAAAACAGATTATAAAAAAAGAAGTGAGAAATTCAGAAAAATAAACTGCACTGAAAACAGAATGAAATGCTAACAATGTTGCATTTATGAAAAGGAAGCATTCAAATTAATACAGATATATTTTCTAATACATATATGTTCATAGAATCTGTATTATATAAAACGCTAATACGTACGTATGTATGTATCAATAAAACCGATGATATTTCTTTTCTCGCGCTGGCAATTGTTTTCATTTTTAATTGAATGGATTCGGCGCGCAAGAGCACGTAGTGAGCAACTAGATAACAATAACCAGAGTGAGCATTATCAGGTTGCTCAATTCAGATTCATGCACTAAAAACATGACAATATTTAATTTAAACTCAATTAGGAATTAATTAATTAATTGAAGTGAGAATGCTTTAAAAGGCTGCTGTTGAATTGATATTTTTCTACTGGGAGCTACCTAAACGTCTAAAAAACGTTTAAGTGTTTGTATTGAATGCATTGAATTTTTTTATATTTCGCGTTTATTTATGCATTGCATTTTCACGTTTTAAAATGCAGAATATTAGTGAAGCAATATTTGATAATTTATTTTGCTAATATGTTTCTTATTTAGCTAATGTTTTGATTTTTTCACCATGTACAATCTAAATAGCTAATATACTTTTTTAAAAGCCAATAAGAACATTGGTAGAATTCATCTACATAAGTACAATACTATGTCTTTGATGATAAAATACTATGTATTTGATGATAATATATTATGTCTTTGTGCTAGAACACTGTGCTCATTGGCGAGCGAGCGCAGCGAGCCATGGTTCACGGCGTGAACCACATAGGATTGCGTAGCAATTCTCGGGGGTTGGCGAGCAGGGGGCGGAGCCTCCTAGTACATATATATTTTTTTAAACTTCTAACTACGAAATGAATGAGTAAGACATTGATCATTATTTTAATATATTTGCTGTCTACATAAATTTCAGTTGTAATTGTGGAATAACAATTTATTTTACAGAATAAATTTTTAATAATACTTTCATACAAAGATATTAACTATCTCTGAATATTTTTGAGAAGTTTAAAAAAAATTTCTGCATTAAAAACTAGACGGTAAAAATAAATATGTACGAAAATTAGATCTTATCCATTTCATTATGGTTCAAATCACATACATAAATTTAAAAAAAAATATGGTTAGAATACTGTACATGACACAAATTAGACTATAATATCATTTAAAAGCACTTAAGATTTTATTTTAATATTTAATATGATTTTTAATTAACTAGAGTTGAAATAAATTGATACAAAAATCTAATTTATGATACTGTACAGTTCATTAAATTGAAACAAAGCAAAAAAAGAAATCTTCTACAGGATACATTGTCTTGTATATTTATAAACATGTAGTTCAATTTTAATGTAATGCTCTTAACTCTAAAATACTTAAAGATTGATTAACTGGGCAAAAAACTTCCTCAAATCACTTAATTTTACAACATTAACCTTGATAATAATTTTTTTAAATGTTTATTCAGAGCTTTAAAACGATCATTAAAAAGATTATTACCCCACTTGTCTCAGTTCCTCTTCAAAAATTTCAAAGTAATATAGATCAGTTCGGAGAGCCAACACCAGTTGAGAAGCATTAGCAGATACAACACATATTGTCTCCCCATGAGGTGGCATCCATTGACTCAAAACCTTTTTAGTTGGTCTGCTGATTAACCTAATTGAAGTTGCAGTAACCTGTTTAAAATATAAACATATCTGTTTCAAATGATATCAAAATATAAATAATGCTTTTTGTATTACAAACAAGGAAAAAATAATATTTAAGTTAGAATGTATAAAAATTTCATATTTTACTGAAACTAAAACTAAGGGAAATATATTTAATACTTAAATTTACTTGTTGATATGATATTCTTAGTTTTTTGAAATATTCAATAATTATTTAAGTAAATAAAAATGTGATATCTGAAACAAAAAAAAAACACAAAAAAACACACGTGGATAGGAGATTTTTTGAGCGTATAAAATAGACATATAAGAGAATCCTGAAAGCAACACTCATCCTGCTACATAATATAAATTTAGATAATTTTTTCAGATTAACAAAATTGTGAAAATGTCCATCATACGTTTATATACCTCTTAGATGGGAATAAATGGTAATTTGCTATAGCTTATAGCTGTTTTATAAATTAGAGTAATTCTGTAGAGTAGCTAGATTTTTATGCAAGTAGCAATAATCATTAAAGAAGAGATAAGAAACCAAACATAGAGAAAGAAATTATAAAAGAAAAGAAATTATTAACCTTATAAGATAGAAATTTAAAAAGAGTGCTACATAAGTAGCAATTTCATGAAAGTGAAACAATTACTGTGATATCACTAATTTTCATCATTTAATTGTAGAGATCATTTTTAACTGTAGAGAGTTGGAGAAACAATTTTATCTTTAAGTATTAAAATAAATTTTAACTATAGGCAAACACACCCTACATATTACTTTAGAAATAAAACTCACTTGAATGATTTGATCAAAGCGAACATTTGCACACAAATATGTTTGCTGACTAATATCAATTCCAGATACATTAGTTTCTTCAACTTCTTCACCAGCCATAGTCAAAACCCTGCAATATTTTAAAAAAATGTCAAGAGAAAGCGTTCATTTGATTTGATCCAGATTATGAAGCTATTATTACGTATGGGTGTGTATATATATATCTTTCCCCTACAAAAAAAAAAAAAACTTTTTTTTGACAAAATTGCGTATTGTAAAAAAACTATACAAACTTAGTTCAAATAGAAAACCATTAGTTTAAATAAAATTTATCAAGGTAATTTTCCAATTGTTTCATTAACACTAATAACAGACATAAAAGTGAGAAAAAGAACAGAAAGTCTGAAAACAGCTATCTCAATCGAATCAAGAAAAAAAAATAATAAAAAATTATGTGAAATTATTTTGCTCAAAAAGAAAGCATTTAAATTACTTACATTTAAAGTTTCCTTTTTTTTTTTCAATCTGTGTGTACATTGAGTCCAAGAAACTCTTAAGCTTATGAGTAATTAAAATAATAACAAAATAGCATAGAAACATTAATAAAAAATGTCAGAAGAATCTCAAACCAGCAACAACTTTTTCTTACATCAAAAACAACTATGAGAGTATAATAAAAGGAAAAATCCTTATTATATTTGACTATGTTCAAAAGGCAACATTTTTATATTAAACTATTGTTTACATATTCTATTTATATAAACTACTGTTTACATATTAAACCATTGTATTGTTTATATATAGGCACTTTGACCTTCTTTGATCTTTTTTTAATAGTTAACCCAAACACAATGTTGTTTTTATTTTCTTCCTTAACTGTGAATTCGTATTTTATTAACTGAGGCAATGTTGTAACAGAGAGAAATGCACAAATTTGGCAAAGTACTTATCAGCCAATAACATTGAAAAAGAACATAAAACATTCCACAATTACAACACAGTTGAAATATCTTTGAAAGTGAATTTCCAATAAATTAAAATTTGACTCACCTCGTTTGACCAACAAATGACAATATTAAAGTATCATCATATTTGTCACTATCGACTCTCAAGGGCCACAAACCTTTAACACCTGGAAGGTCAATGCTTGCATGCTCATGAATACCAATACCATTGCGAATTATACGAAGTGAACCTTCCTTATAAGCACCAGAACAAGTGACCAACTAAAAATAAATTTTATACATCAAAAATTCATCTAATTGCATATCTACAAATAACATAGTAATATTAATAAAGTATAGAGTACAAGAATTTTACTCTAAATAGGTAGGTAGATTAAAAGAAAAAGGAAAGGTTTTAAAATTTCCAAATAATCCCCTTTTTAAAAAAATTATTTAAGAGCATAACGTGTCAAAAAGCATCTTCCAGCATAATAAATCATATGGAGTGAAACTTTAGAAGAGATTTAATAGAATTTCAAGTGAAAACAGAAAGAAAAAAAATATTTCTTGAAAATTTCACACTTATTCTAGATAAAATTTACTAGATATTAGAGGTTAAAAAAGGAAATCTTTGCAAACAGCAGCCATTTTTTTAAAATTTTTTTATTGAAAACTAAATCAATTCCATCTAGAAGTGTGCAGAGTTTGATAAAATCAGTGCATTATTATTGTGTTTATGATAATTTTTCTAGCTGTAAGCCCATAATCACTCACTAAATTTACGAAATCTTTCGATCACAATCTTTTTAAAATGTATTACTTAAATGTTATTTTACTTATTTAAAGTTTGAAAATTAAAATATTTTTTAATATTGAAAGGATTTTTTTTTTAAAATGCTTTTTCTTGTTCTTTAATTCCTGTAGCCCTTTAAGACTTGACATGTTTGCAAAAAACAATTTTAAAAAGTTTTGAATTGAAAAGTTTTGAACTTAGAAATTGAAAATCTCAGTTACATGAACAGACGTGCCAACCTAGCAAAATTAACATTCAGGAGTTTCCCTAACAAGAATTCAGGAGATTTCAGGAGGGGTAAAAAAAGGTGCATGGTATGCAACATTTGGCACTTCTAAGGAATTTTAAGTAAAAAATTTATTAAATATAAGAATGCAAGAAATTTTACACACTAATAGAGCAATAATTGTTTAAAAATATTAAATGGAAATAAAATAATTAAACACAGATTTAGCAACACAAAACTATATTAGGTAGATACTCTTTAAATAAATACCATTTCCTTAATAAAACATTATTCAAAAACCCGACACTGTAATAAAAATACACAAAAACTTTTAAAAAATAAACAAATTGAATAAGTATTTTATTTTAAAAAACCAATTCAATACTAATGTCTGTACAATAAAGAACCAATTATCCGGGATGCTCGGGACCATCGCTATCCCGGATGTCTTAATTTCCCGGTTTCCTGGATCGACAAAAAAGTGTCGTTAATCGATGTTTTATCAAACCCAAATTACAAGGAAAAAATGTAAACACATTTTAAAGTAAGAGAAAAAAGAAAAGCACTCCTAAATCTAAAAAGGAAAAAAATTGTAGAAAAATAAAATTTAAAAGAATAAAAAAATTTGCAAGTTTAGACAAGAAAAACAAGTTTAAAAAATAATTACGATTCCTAAATCAACTAATAAACAAAACCAATGATTAAATAACGCAATATATTTCATGGGGGGGGGGGAAAATAAAAGGAAAACCTATTAATCTAAATAAAAACAACACTTGAAAATTATCGAACCGAAACGATAGTTAAAAAACGGCACTAGCATAAATATTAAAACCTAGAACAAGGCAAGATCAACGGACTTTAAAAAAAAAAAAAAAAAAAAATGAAAAAATTTGGTAATACAAATAATTTTATTGAGTGCAAAATTTATCATGAAAAAGAAAAAAAAAACGTAGTGGAATCAGAAAAACGAAACTGCAATCTGCTTCATAAAATAATTGTATGCTTAAATTAATAAACAATTCTCCTTTTTTTTTTTTTTATAAAAACGCGATTTTTAATTAAAGCAGGTGTGATTCCACATCAAGAAAAACTTGCGAATGATACCGCACTTCCAAAGAATCAGAATTTATTCAAAAGAAAAACATTTTATTTTTATTAATCGATGTCAAATAGATAAATATATTTTTCTCTTTCATCTTCTGTTCACTGATATGCATGTGCAATGCATTTTCCCCACCCCCTCGTAAATCAAACTAGCAAACGAAATCATCATGCCACTCCTTTGAGTTTAACGACCTAAAAGAGAATAAAGATCTAAAATCTTCAAGGTCGCGGAAGAAATGACGTTTCTCTGGGTAAACGGGGAAAAAAATTCTTCCCTTCCTCACATTTTCCTCTACTCAACTTCAAGGATTAGTCCAGTTTCCGCTTTTTTTTTTATATCGTTTTAGTTCAAAATGGCGGGAGAACCGAGCAAATTTTTTTTCCGGATTATCTGGATACCAGATAAATGGTTCTCTACTGTATGCATGAAAAAAAGAGTTGCAGACTTAGCTCTCCGCAATTAAGTCTTGCTAAAGTCATTGGTACATGATTTGTTGAAATTGATCCATACTTCCGTTTCGACTTAAGACATCCTTGAAATTTTTTTTTTTTAAATATACGAAGACTAAACGAATAATTGATATCACGTTGCTAGTTTACGAGCTTGTTGCCAACCGTGGAAAAATACGCATTAAAAACTATAAAAACAGCAAGATACAATATCAATTCCAACTATCCAGAGTACGAGTTTCCCCACTCCTGAACGGACGTCACTCGATAACGACATGTGACGTCATTGCATTCAACTCCACACGAAAGAAGAGGAAGATTTCACCCGCCCCCAGTGTAAGGGGGCGGGTGAAATAGGAGTGTTAAGAGGTAACGTTGAAGAGGGGGGAAAATAAAGCATGTTCAGCTATGCTTCAGGCAGATGGTAGTTTGATAAGAGGGGATGGAATTCAAGCTGAAAGAAAAACTTACCTTCGCACTCGCGGAAAAATTAGGTAATTCTGAGTTTGGCCGTCGATCGCAGTAAAATTCGGGAGTTTTTCAAATCAATTCCGGAGGGCGGGAGAATAACTCAAAATTCGGGAGACTCCCGCAAAATGCGGGAGAGTTGGCACGTCTGCATGAACAATAAAATATACACCTAGTTCTTTTTGAAATAAAATAACCATAACACTTTAAATAAGATAGAAACATTAGGTAATCACAAATACAAAAAGCTTAACTCTGAAAAATTTATTCTTAATAAAATTTCAAATCAGGGTGTATTTACATTTCACAGAAACAGAATTTCAGATAAAAAAATAATCCCAAAACTTCATTTTAATTACTTCCTGTTTTATAAAAACAGGATTTTAGATTAAATATTAAAAAAAAATCCAGAGAATTCAGATCAATTGTAATTATTTCAAAAATTTAGGTAAATTGTTTTAAAAAAACCATACATATAAAATAATTTAAAGAACTGCAATATATTACTTTTATTTATCTCAAAATAGTACTTTAAAAAAAAAAGATGGTTTCTTGTACAGTTGTTATTTAGCAAAGTAGGTAATGTCCTTAAATGACTTAAGCTTCAAAACTAAAACTATTAATTTATCATATAGATATTATAGCTACTTATGGTTACAGTTAGGTAGAATTTGCATTCCAATTTTTCAGAACAAGAGTTCTTTTCATGCTTAGTAAATTTTAGAGAATTCCTAATATCTCTTTAGCAACAATCATACAATAACTATTCAAAGCATAGCAGTTCCTCAAAATGCAATGAATTTTAGTCTTTAATACATTATTGTAAAAAAAAAAAAAAGTATACTTGATTACCTGACCCTGCCCTTGTCGTTCTAAGTCAACAACACACATATCTACAATTGGACCAAGATTGGTGAATGTTTCCATTGTTTCTGTGAAAGATCCACTTTCATTAGCATTCACATTAAGTTTAACAAGTTGAGAATCTCCCAATCTGGATCCTACATAAACAACTCCATTGTCTAAATAGGTTATACATTCTGGAATTGTAATCTAAAAAAATACAAAGAATTCTATAAACACTCAAACAAGTCATGCTAGTTGAAATATATTCTGAAGCCAAATTAAAAAGTTTTACTGTCAAATTCTAATTGTTAAACGTTTGTTTAATTGTCTTTCTACTTGTTTGCTAGTTAAAATAAAAGCTTATCTAAAATTGAAAAAAAAAAAACTTTTTATAATAAATTTTATAGCCAAATGAATTTTATAATTTTTTTTTAAAACAATATTAATTGGAATCAATACATCAGAATGAAATGAAAATTCTTCTTTTAAAAGATTAACACTTTAAATTAAATCAGAGTTAATTTTATTAGTAAAAATTTTAAGTTCATAATTTTAAATTTAATTTTGCAATGAGGTCAATGAAGAACCTAACATCAACTGAACTCAAAAGAAGAAAGTTAAATGGCTAACATGAGAAAATTGTGGCTCAGTGTAATCTAAATGATTACAAACCACTACATAAATTTACGACAGAATCAGCATGATTTATGAGTGATGAAGTAGACTCAAAAGCAAGATTTAAAATTTTTGTGCGAGCAAGATCATATTAAAAACATTAAATCTATTTCATTTCAACCAAATTTTTAAAAAAAGCGATAAATGTACTCCCACAATGATTCATTAATTCTTTTGCAACAAATCGGAATTTGGAACAAATTCCTCACTCACAGTCATATTTTATTAAAATGTTAAGTATTGTGATCTTTAAGAAAATGAAAGAAAAATATTTCTGGAGCGAACTATCTTTTATACTTATGCGATTTCGTATACATTTATATTTTATTTTATTAATTTGAAATTCCAGCAGATGCCAGCCAATCATTGTTAAATTTTTTTAATTCACAAATGAGAATAGAAAAAAAAATCATGAGCATTTCTTTCCCTTCAGATGCACAATAAAGGCAATCTTCAGAATACAATTCTGTAGAAAAAGAGAAACATCTTTCCATAAACTCTGAAGAAAAGAAAACCTAAATTTTCAACTTCCCAAATGAAAAATCTTTCTGCAATAACTCTGCGTTCTGCAACAATGTCACTATGATTATGCCACGGGGCACATCACCTCAAAATTATAACTGGCAATTGAATTTAAGCTTAAAATTAACATGGATAACAATTTTACAAATATTTATTACTTCAAATTTAACATAACATCACATTTATTTGCCAACACAAGTGCAATCCAAACCCCGCATAGGCAGCAAGAAAAATGGTGAAATTGTTAGCAAGAAAAATAGTGAAAAACGTGCGCAGATTTATAACAAATCTTAGCTAAAATTATGTACAAAACAGTCATAAAACTTTATATGCAAGAAATGCATTTTCTCTTGTTGTTTTATGATGTGACATTCTGAGGCAGCAAGTCTCCAAACAATGTATGATAGAAAGCATATTAATTTGATACATGAAATCAAAATATACCTCTCCAAGAAATTCAAACTTCAGGTCTCTAACAACTACAGTTCCATCCATCTTTTCTTCTTTTTCCAATAACAGCATAAATAAGCGACCACACATATTTCCAAGTAAATAGCGAGATCCATTTTCATCCACTTTGCAGTAACAATTTATGACACTTTGCTGAAATAAAATAACAAGTGGTAAATATAAATAACTTTCCAACAGCCTTTTCAAGTTTAAAATATTTAACATCAAAATTTGTAACAAAAAGATTCATTTTACAACTTAATTAATGTTTAAATCTAAAACAATAATAATTTTAATTGAAATATTTTAAATTCATTAACAAAATAAAATATACAAAGAATTTCGAAAATGTTAAGTAGCAAGCACAAATGCAGAATAAAATTGAAATTCATATAAAATATCAACTTGCATTGCTCAGAAAGAAAATTGCTCTTATAAAAAGAGTTATTATTTTCTATTAATTTCAGGAGAAAAACTAACAAATTCAGCCTAAAACAAGATTAGAATAACTATGGATTTGCTCATATACTCAAGAAAGATTGTTTAGTTCAATAAATAAAACTCATGAGTCAATAAAGGGTTAAATTACTAAGCTATAAATATTTAAAGCGTGTGGGGTGCAGAGCAAATTCTTTCCAAAATAGAAATTTTTGCATCATATTGTTTCTTAATATTGTCTTCAGACAGGTAGCCTACAAAATAATAGCAATATGAACAGAAACATCCTATATCCAATATGAAAATCATGATATTTATCACCAAAAGCAGCACCAGCACTTGAAAATCTTGTAAAGGTGGGTTATCTTTATATTAGCCCACGGGCTAATCAATTTTGACACAAAAGATACGATTTGTTATTTAATTCTGTAAGTAATTTCTTCATTCACATAATAAAGAAGAACACATTTTACTTTAAAAGAAATCAATAAATGTAGATGAATCAAAAACTAATAAGATCACACAACAAATATTAATCCTAAAGCCCATTTTTCAATTTTTTATACAGTTTTCCCCCATCACTGAATATTAGTTTTGCATTCTATATTATATTTATTTTACAGTTTTTCACTTTTACAATGCACTTCTTTTTAGTATTGCACTTGTGAAAAAAGATAATTTGTTTTTCGATAAATGATTGCCATTCAATATTTTCCAATTGCAACAATTAACAATTCGCCTTCAAAAAGCATATGCATTAAAAGCATTGTCATTTTTTGGCTTCTTTGTTGCTTTTTTACATGGTAATTCCAAACTAAACACCTGACCCAAAATTCTTATCATAGTTTAAGAATAATAATCAGAGAGTTGCAAATGAGAAACTTTTTTTTTTCCTTTAGAGCCTATTTGTGAATATTTCAAATTAAATACATAATTTAGTATTTTTCTAAAATTTGAGCTTGAGATGGATCAAGAGGAAATTGTCAAGCAATGAGAAATTGCAGTGGTTTGGTGAAGCAGAACAAAACATCAGTAGTTATACAGAGCAAAAAGCCCATGAACAAATTTCAAATTTCTTGCAACATATTTTTCCTTGTTTGGATGCTTTTTTGCACTTATTTCTAAATTAATATTAATTTCTATAGTTTTTGATCTAGGCTTTGAAACTGATCAATGTGAAATGGCAGAGCAGGGAGGTCAGTTTGACTGACAGAATGCAAAAAACAGATATGAGTCAAACATTTAAAATTACCTTGATAAGAGGTGGTGCAATAGCTATGTGTTTATCACCATGATAATAAGTAATAGATTCTTGACCAATCACAATTGCTCCGCAGAAAGGTTCAGGAACTAAAATGGAATTTACAGTTAATACACAAATGCAGTTTGCTATCAATTATGAATTTATAAATTTAAAAAAAAAAACTAAATAATTTTAGTTAAATCAGTTGATATTTAAAGTAAAATGATGAAGATTAAATTAGAAGAAACAACTCAACCTGCTATCACTGTTGTAGCTTCAATTTCAACATTATTTTGCTGCCATGGGCCTTTTGTAAATTCCTTATCTCTCATAGAAATTTCATATGTATTCACGTGTCTGGCATTTGCATCTTGATACACAAGAACAACAGTAGGATTTGAATAGCCATGAAGAAACTGGATGTCATGAACAAGTAATTCTTCCATCCTAAATTAAGTACAAATAAATATAAGATTAATTCATTACAAGCCAAAACACTATTAAAAATACTTTAAGGTTTTGAATAATGAAAGAATAACCTTTAAAAAACACCTCTTCAGTAATCAAACTTATTAAATTTTATCACAGATCAAAGGCCTAACAAGGCATCAAAACAATAATAATAAATAAATAAATAAATAATTTTTTCTAATCACTAACCTTTACATTTATTTTTGATACATCTATATTTTTTTCAAAATACGAAAATTTATAGATCTTCAATCATAACAATATACATTTAATAAGAAAAAACATACAAATCTATAATAATAAAATGAAGAGTTAGTATGTGACTCATAACTCCAGAACAGTTCCATCTTCCAGATTTAGATACTCGAGAACAGTTCTTTGTTCTATCGTCCTGATATTTGGACAGAGTGCAAAAGGGCAATTTTAGCCCCCATAATCTTAAAAATGATTGAATGATTATAAAATGTTATAAGATTATAAAATGATGATAAAATGTTTTTGAATGATTGTTAAGATTTTTTTTTATTTCCAATGGCAGACATGAAAGACAAATTTGTAGCCGAGAACAATATATTCTTTATATTATTCTAGGCTACAAATTTGTCTTTCATGTCTGCCATTGGAAATAAAATAAAAAAATCTTAAAAATCATTCAAAAACTTAGATTAGATTGTTTAGGAGAGACATTTAAAAAAAATGGAATTTTTTCATAGGTTTAGAGCTCGTGCCATTGATATAAATGAAACTGCAGACAATTTTTAAAAAAAAATAAATAAAAACGTCAGTGATGATTGCTCTCATTAATCAAAAAAGGAGTTTATTGCATGTTCTGAGATGCTTAATTATTTTTTATTCATTTTGTAAGATTAACTCAATAATCAACGTAGCTTAGGCGGACTATGTCACCAAATCAGTACTTAAGTTATATGAAATGACGTTTATTTTTTAATGTTATTTTGTTTTTAAAATAGATAAAAAATAAGTTATGTACTGAAAAGCAAAATTAATGAAGACTCCGTCAGACTAAAACTACTCTATCAGAACCAAATATACTACTACAGGTAAAATTAGCATATTTGGTGTCCAATAAAACTGCATTAATACTATTCAGTTTTAATATAGATACTGAGAAAAGAGGTATTTTACAGGCCAACAAAAGGGATTACTACCAGAGAAAAATTGCAGGCTGTCTATTTGACAACATGATTTATCAAATGGTCACCTTTTTACAAAATTAGTCGGTATTTTTTTAAAAACAGTCAATTTTTAGCTGTTTTTTTATTAAAAAAAAAATTAGTTTCTATAGTTAGTTGCCAGTGATGGCCCTAAAATGAAACTAGCTTTCAATTCTTGTTACTAGATGTGATAAATATGATTGAGCATTAATAATTTTTCTTTGTCATGGAGTAACATTTTATTTCAGCAAAAATATGAATAAGCAATGAAAATTTTTTACATTGTAGCTTCTTCAGCTTGGAGAGCAGCTTAAGTTATTATCTAAAATGCTTTATCAAGCTAAAAACTTACCTAACAACACATAAAATTTTTGAATTTAATTAGTAACATGGCCTCAAAAATATTTCTAATAAGACCTTTACATTTTAAAATTAGAATCATCACTTTAATATGGTTTGAAAATAATTATTTCTATTAAAATAAAGCAATATTTAATACAACAGTTTATATTTACTATGCTTACTATATATACTTATGATTATTATACATACCATGTTATACTTATATTTACTATATATCTCATATACTATGTAGAATTCCCAGCGATTTCAACTGAGAAATATAATAAGTAGATATAATAGCAATTTATATTTGGCCAAATATCTACGATTGAGTTGAACGTAACCACTTTTTTTAACAGTGTATAGTACAAGTATGCGTGAAAATCGATAAAAAACGTCTCTAACGAAGTCTTATTTTAAAACATAAATATCTAATTACGATTTGTAAAAAACTATATTTGTAAATACGCGTTTTATTAATAAATAATAGTTATGCATACATAATATAAAATTTAAAATAATTTTTTTTTACCTATTACTGCTGCAATTTGGTATTACAGAAATAATGTAATACACTTTAAATCCCACAATCCATTGCGCTTTTAATTTAGAAATATATTAGGCATAGCAGTTGACCATTTAGTAAATGATAAAATATTTAGTATAGAGTTAAGAAGAAGAACTGTTACTTAGTTAAGTGTTGGATCAGAATACATTATAAAACTTTTTTTTTCACTCACAAGGTTTGAGACAAAATCAAAGCAAGAACAAAAAATATAGAAAACTTATTTTGAGTTTAAAATATTGTAATTACCTCACATTGAAAGCCTTGAGTTCTTTCATATCTTTATCTAAGGGAATAACTTTAAAGAGACCATCATATAACCGTAACCCAATTATCCGACAAAGAGGATCAATGATACCAATGCTTCCAGTCTCTGAAGGTCTAGCAATGGTATCCTGTAAGACAATAACAAATAATTTCATCAAATTTAAACAGTATACATTTGTGTACCTACAATTATTCAACAATTTTATAGTTAATTGCACATCAGAATATAAATAGTAATTCTAACAAATACTGTAAACAAAAAGTTTGATATTCCAAGCATTTCTTTAAATCTATTTTTTTTAATTAATTAATCATGCTAAACACATGTATAAAAACGGTGATTATTAGCAAGAAAATTTGATAATAAAGTCCATTAGCACAATTTATTTAAATATGCAAAGCAGAAACAAATTGTATTGTAGTAACCCTAGGAAGAAAAATTTGGCTTTCTCTTTTTGCTGTATTAAGTAATTTTTCGTAATAATAAAAAGTGGACAAAACAGATCCTTTCTTGGGGAATTAAATAAAATGGAATTTTCATTAAAATAGCTGAATTTTTCTTTTTCTTAACAATATGTTTATAAAAAAGCTCATCCTTGTCTATGAAGAAATATACAAAGACAAATACATTTATGGGCTCACTTATATTATAAAATTATTTTTATTAAATACTGTTCCTCAACTAATTACATTTTTATAACAAAATCTAACTAAGCTTTTAAAAATACATTTCAAGTAACAAATCAAAATTAAATTGAGTAAAACATATATTTATCTCCCAGAGAAAATGAAAAAAGTATAAAATTTGAATATGTCTAATAAAATAATAATTAAATTAGCCAGAAATAAAATATTTGTCTTGTATCAGAATTTAAAATTATAAAATAAATCATAAGATAAATATAATAGATGCTTTGTTATGCAGCACAATTAAAAGAATGAAACAAAGCAGGATATATGATATACAGTAATTAGATGCATAACTTGAAGAGATGAAAATTGTTATATTAGTTTTGATAGCTAAAAAGCTTTTTGTTGAGCCAAATAATAACTAAAATTAGAACCATAAATACATTAACAACTTATCATTGCATCATAACTTATCATTAAATCCAAACTTATTATTAAGAATCTTGGCCTCAGTAAATGGAGGTATGATGAGAAGCATATAGAAAAAATGAGTATAATATTTCATGATACAAACCGCAACATTTCCATGAGCTTTAGTAATAATTTCCATCGAGCCTTTTTCATAAACACATTCTAAGATGCAGGCATTATATTTATGGGTAAGTAGAAAGAGCAAATCCTTCTTTTCATCCTAAAAGTAATAAAATTTAGATTTAAAATATCAAAATATGGTATAAATAAAATCGAAACAAGAATGAAGAAACATGTAATCAATATTACATTTAGAATGCAAAACTTTTTATCATTTACATTAATATTTCAACTATACTTTAGTATAGTCAAAAGCTAAAAAAGTATATAAATTCTATAGGAGAGGCATTTGGCCTATTTTGAAAAGTATTTTTAAAGCAAATGCAAAAAAGACATTAAATTTTTCATACTAATATTTTACTAATATTCAATTTATAAAAAAAAATTATAAAATAAAAATATATTTAATAACAAATTTATGACACCAGGAGTAATATAAAAAAAATAAATTTTTTTCTCTAGTGCACAAAGCTACCCTTCTAGCAGCAATTATCAAAATAAGTAGGACAAATGACATTTATATGGAGGAGAAATATTAATTACAATCTTCTGATGTGGAAAATATGTTCAATGGCATGAAGATTTAAAGAAAAATAATGAAATAAAAAAATTGAAATTTAATACTGCGATAAAGGTTTTGATTACATGAAAATGGAAAAAGACCTTATTTTGGTTTGATGGATTTCAGACTAATAAGATTTATTTTTCTACAATTTAAAAGACCACTAGTAAAAATTAAGAAAGTCGAACAATAAAAAGTTTATTGCTTCTCGTATTTATGAAAATATATAAAAAAATTTAAATATGGATAAAATACATTATAAAATTAGATAATAAGCTTGAAAAGACTAATTAATTTCAACTTAACTTTTTAAGTAAATCATAAAAAAGTACCTTTTTTTAATTTTATTTTATAGATAATTATTGTAAATATTATTACTACAATATTAACTATAATTATCCTTTGCTATAGCTCTGGACGCAATACGATACAACAGTCATAGCCTAATTCCTTATAACAGTAGAGAGTTGTTTTTTTTCCCCTTTTCCATTCCTCAAGTTAAAAATTACAATATCGCATCCTATCGATTATTTCTTGCAAATAAAAATAATTAGCAATTGGTTTAAATATTTGTAATCTAAAATGAAAGCACACTAAAAGTTGCGGATAATAGTATTTTTGTATTTTCTTTCGTGCGTTAAAGCTGGAAAAAATACACTTTCCAAACCAAACTGGGTTAATTGAAAAATATTTTTTCCACAATAAATCTGTATTAGTTATAATAGCAAAAATGTAATAAAAAAAAGAAAACAATTATAAACACAATGAAAAATACAGTGAGAAAAGTATCAATATGATTACCGGAGGGCGAAATAACTTCATTACAGTAATCCGACCATAGATGCCAATTTCTTTAATAGCTCTCAGGCCTTCAGGAGTGACTGAGTAAATCTCCAAACGAGTATTTTTTGCAAGAAGTAAGTTGAGATCATCTGGAGAGGTGAAATTTCCTACAATAATAGAAAACAAATAACATTGTATAATTCCATTTTACAAACACATATTTTAATATACAAACTTGCTAAGTATTTATAAACACTATGAAATCAAAATTCTAAAATATTGAAAATTATTTCAAAATAAAATTCAATTAAAAAAGGAGCCATATAATTACGAAAATTAATAAAAAAAGTTTCGGCTTGAAAAGAACTACCTTTTTTTGACAGTGACTAGGTAATGAAGTTTAGATATTTCATGGTAACATTTTAAAACTCATATTTATTGCGTAAGGAAATACATTCTGTTAAGATTTAGATAAAACATGCATTTTGGGGACAATTACACTGGTAATATAGATTTAAAGAAAGTTTCTAATTAGACAAGGGGTGTCAAAGTCGCGACCAAAGTTTTGTGGCCCAGTCAATATATCCGAAGCAAAGTAAAAATAAAATTGAAATGTGAATTAGAAACGAAACTATAATAATAATAAACGAAACTTAAAATTATAATATACTTTATTTATAAACTATACGGATCATTTTAAATTGTCCGTTCAAAAATGTAAAATTCTAATTGGCCGAAATGGAGTCCGTTTCACACTAAGCTATCAATTAGATAGTACATAATCAGGTTTATCCTATTATAGCGAGGTAAGTTGGTCATCTTGCTCCAAGGTTCTCAATCAATTCTGGGATTTGAAAGAAAAAATATGTAAGTTTTTACAAACTATAAATCAAGATACAAGTTTGTTCTCCGATCAAATATGGCTGCAAGATTTATCTTTTATGGTTGATATAACCAAACACTTATTTGATTTCAGTGTTTTCATTACAGAAAAAAAAATGGGAGAGAATTTTTCGCTCTTTCTCAAAAACAGGGTGAGATTTCTAAAAATTAAAAAAACACGAATAGACTTGGGAAAAAAATATTTCTTTAATTATAATACATTTTTAACATCTTCTAATTTCTAAACCATTGAATATTTTTATTGCATCATCATATGGAAAATGTTCCATATCTACTTTTTCATCAGCTATTCTCATTAGGTTGCTCAAATGCTCATCAGTCAAATCTGTTACAATATTTTGTTTTAATTCGGTTTTGGGTGCTAAATGACAGATGCTGAACTATTCGGAATCACTAATTAAATTTGTAGCATTGTGCATGCACTTTCCTATCCTCTACATCTGCCAGTATAGGCTTTTCAATTATTTCTGTTATAGTATAGTGAAGTTCGTTGAAGTTATTTCCATGTTCATACTTCTTGTTAGGTTATCACAGTTTTCACAGACTTCAACTTTTATAAATTGCTGTTAATTGTTGGTGAGGGAGTTCAGTAATTCATTTACAGCTAAAAATAGAGCTAACTTTAAACAACTTATTATAAGGGACTCATTTTTTTTCTCAACACTTGTCGTAGCTGTTTTCATGTCTTTTTCAAAATGGCGGATTTTATTAAAATTTGCGGAGGACGAAATTTTTTCCAAAATTCGAGAGATTCGTGTATTTTAAAATTGATTAATAGAGTGCGCGAACTTCTCGCGTTAATCATCTTTTAATGCGAGAAAAGAAAAAAATATTCGAGATACTTGCGCTGTAGTGAAAACACTGGATTTAAATTTATTGTTACAAGGCAAGGATCAGATCATTACGAACATGTTTGACATAATTAAAAAAACATTCAAAAGTAAACTATTTCTTTGGGAAAGGCAACTGAAAAATGAAGATTTAACGCACTTCCCAAGGTGCAACAAGAACAAATCTAGTTTAGACGATACTGCATTGTATCAAAAATACGCAGAATAAAATTTCAAATCTTAGAACAGAATTTGAAACAAGGTTTGAAGATTTTAATTATTTGGAAGACAAATTTTGTTTGTTTTCTTTGATTTTCTCAATAAATATAGACTCAGTACCAGGGTTGGCAGGTTTTTGACATGTGACAGTTTTTGACAGTTTAAACCATGGTTTAAACCGTCACGTCAAAAACCTCACTGTCAAAAATGTCAAAAACCTATATTCATATGTGAAATTTAATTAATACATAAAATTTATATATTTTTTATAAAGGATAGTGTTTCTAAATATGTTCTAGAAAAAATAAATTT